GAAAAAAGGCAGATGACGTAACGGCCTTGTCAACGAAATGATCTTGTCGATGAAATTATCCGTAGACGAAGTGATGGCGATGAAGAGGCTTGTCGATGTCGATTAAATGAACCGGACCCTGATTCCACGTGCAATAATACTTTAACAGATCATTTTAAGCTTATGTTGCTTCATATCCCAGATGGTGTAGCTTAGTTTCACCATCTACATAAAACAAAAGAATCTTTAAAATGTTGAAATCAGTAAAGTAATAAGGCATTTAAGAATACAGTTTGCTGAATCATTTTAAGTCCATAAAATGGTGAACTCTACCACAGAAAGCATGTATCCTTACGGCAACAATGTGTCGGAATTTTTTCTTTTTTGTCACATGAATGTTAAACCTTTTTTCAATAACGCAAAATTATTGCACTTTCAAACCTTTCATCCTAAAAGGATTAAAAATTATTTTTTAAAGCATTTTTTAAACAGTGTTGTCACTTAGGCCTATAATGACGTTTTAGTTGACGTCACACTAGCTATAAAATCAAATTGCATTGTCATTTAAAATATCATGACAAGGTGGATTTTACCTGAGCATACAAGACTTTGCGAAAAGCAACATTATAATTACCAAGATTTAAGATTATTTTCACCTTGAGACAAGCTTTATTAAAAAAAATAGCTCTTTAAAACACTAAGTCAACCTCGATTTAAGGTTTTTATGTAGAAGGTTGTTTTCCAAGGTTAAGGATTCGAGTAATGTGCGTGGAATAGAGCAGATTGTCACAGATTAAAAGGTTTACACGTAAACCGTAATACAAACCTTTTTAGGCTTACATTAAAAGGTTTTTGTGGAGTGAAAAGAAATCTTATATAGCTATCTAAGTAGTATAATAAATTTATCTATGTGTGTTTTTTTTCACCAGCCGAATCCAGATGTGGAGGATTTTATTGCGGCAACAAAGAATGTGTTCCTCAAGAATCTAGATGTAACGGACAGAAGGATTGCACAAACGGAAATGATGAGGAAAACTGCGAAGCTTCTGAGTGCGTCGAGGAAACTCATTTCAGATGCGATGAAAATAAATGCCTTCCAAAAGGACTTCTTTGCAATCTTCAGAGGGACTGTTCAGATGGAAGTGATGAAGATAAGTGTGGTAAATAAAGTGTTGCATAATTTTAATAAAACCGCGAGGCACAAAAATTTTCAAGAAAAATGGATGCAAAGGCCTGGTTTCTTAAGACAAGGGCCTTCTCTTGACTTCAGTTGAAAGTTGACCTACCCTGACCCCAGGGCTAAAGAAAATAGATGGGCTAGTTCACTCCGCTCTTAGAGCTGAAGCTACGATTTCCCTCTTTATGACGTCACTGTGTCCACAGATTTCGGAGATCGTAAGCAAAGATATTATGATATCTTTGCATCTTTCTCTTTGTAAAAATAAGTTAGACTTTTTCTGGTTATTAGCTTTCAAACTTTACGTAATTAACATATTATTTCCGATCATAAACATAGTTCAAAAAAACTTTCTTGGCCATTATATTAAAAAAAATACCATTTTAAACTTATAAAAATGTTTTACTAGTTGGCGAAAATGACACTATAAATACTTCATTTTAAAAAGTCCAGTTTTAACTTTAATTATTAAGAAAAATGAAAGCATATATCGACACTTTTTTTATCCACATATTCTTTTATAACAATAAGTTGAGTTAAATTTAGAATTCCTGATCTTAAAATATGCCGTAAATAACAATTTGTTCATACTTAATCATTAGGAAACATCTTCCTTAAACGCTAATTACTGAAACAAAATAATAATTTAGGTGCATAATGACATTAGAAATTTTACAATTGCTTATAGATATTTAAATTTACGATGATATAATTTATAGATATTTAAATTTAAGAGAATATAATTTAAAAAAAAAATCATAAATATTTAGAATAACAACATTAAAAAATATGTTATGAAATTAGGAAAATTCCAACTATATACTATATATTTTATTTATACTTTTTACTTACATTTTAATTTTCTTTGACTTTATCTATTTTTTAATTCTTTTCACCTGCCTTTCTTTATGAAGTAACGAGGCGGTTTCTATTTAGATAATGAATTTTTATAAAAGTTCTTTACGACAGAATAAACGTATTGCTGTTTTATATTAACTGTGTCATTTCGGAATCCATTCTTTACATAGTTGTTCATTTACTTTAGGGAACACGCGAAAAATTATACTTTTTCCTTTTGTTTTTATATCAGAATTTTTGCAAGTTGCAATCGCGCAAACTGGCATTTCGATAATAGTTTTAAATTCTTGTAAATTCACTGCAAAAACTGAGGAAAGTCATTATAGAAAATAACAAATGTCTTCGAATATCTCGCAAAAAGAAATGCTCCAATATTAGTTAGAGCTAGTAAGCCCGAACGCAAAGTGCGTAGTAAAAGTGCGAGCTTTGCACCAAAGTGACGTCACTAGAGAAAATCGGAGGATTGGCGCGGCGAGAGCTACTTCAAAGGAGTGAACCAGCCCTTCTATTCTCTGTAGCCCTGCCCTGACCCCAACAAGAAACTGTTTTGTAAACTCAGAGTGAGCAGTCTTTTCACCTCAGACATTATCTCGCATTGCGCATGCGTGAATGACATAAATAAATATTTATTTTGATTCTGTAGCTCGTTTTTAACTTTATATGTGTTATTGTAGACCAGTGTTTAAGAGGGAAAAAATGACCTTTTAATCTGAGACTACAGATCGTTTTAAGCCCGGACTCTTTGTATGATTTATATCTTCCAATATACAAATTAGGTTATTTTTTAAATTTCGGAGATTAATTACTACACGAAATCAAAATGTTGGCAGATTTCAACAATCTGTTGGCTGTTGTCCACCATTGCTTCTGCCGTTAATGTAATCCAACTACAATTGATTCGGACGGCAGTTGTCGTTCAAGCTGAGTGTTCGATGACGTATGCTGTCTTACGCACAAATTGACCAATCAGAGGTAAGCGCTCCCTCCAAGCTAACGTTTTGTATCGCCGATGTGTCCTAAGAAACCAGGCCTTAAGATTTGTTTCATTTTTCTACGGAAAATCGATTTATTTTTTCCCGCTAATTTTCAAAGTAGTTACAATGGTCGTGCAGTCTGTGGTCGAAGATCGCTGCTGACAAAGAAAAGAAAAAAGAAAAGAAAAACAGTAAAAATTCTTACAACTGCATGTCAATCCACTCTAATTGAAATACAGTTGTGAGAATGGGGTGGATATAAAAAACCCTTTGCCCTTTTTATGGACCTCCAGCGGCCGTTCAACCTATTGAGATGAGGAAATTTCAGATGTAGTATATTCAAAGGTATAAGCTTGAGATTCTAAAAACGACAACGGTTACGGCTTTATAGGTACATAGACTCGACATTTTCAAATTTGCGGCACCCATTTTTTTCGTTGCAAAAAATTCAGAGCATGCGAAAACCTTAAACACAGTGTTAAAAGGTACGTGTCTCACAAAATCTGGTACGCTATGCACGACTCACAAAAAGCAACTCTGCCCTCACCCAAAAACACATGAACAAGGAATCACATGAATGATAAAAGCATTGAACACACAAAAAACACAGGAGTATGAAAAAAATATTGACTCTATGAAGCGCAAAGATAGAGTCAGTGTACATGATAAGTAAAATAAATAAAGTAAAATAAATAAAGTAAAATAAAAATAAATAAAGTAAAATAAATAAAGTAAAATAAAAATAAATAAATTAAAAAAATCAAAGAATCATGTTCACTGGATATTCAACGAAGAAAACCTATAAAAAATGTGGCTCACAATTTCAGGCACAATAGTTGACGTTCTGAAATTTTGCGAGTAAGCGCCACCATCGGGGATTATAACATATGCTTTGTAACAGGCTGACGCTATGTAGCCATGTTGTTAATTAACAGCATACTAGAATTGCTGCTACACTATGCGCTGAATGACATCGTATGGATGGACGATGAGGTGCCTCAACAAATTTTATTTTTAAAAAATAAAATAGTAGACCGAATTTTGGGTTTACGATCCAAGTAGCACATATCTCAAAAACAATATCGTACGAACTTATCTTCGAATATTGTACAACATCGTTGCGAACCATTGTGCTATACACCAAAGAGCCATTACGTGATGACCAACCTCCATCTATAACAATTGGCTCGTCCAGCTTTTCATGGTTTCTCGCCCAGGAGCAATGTTTTCATGGGGCACATTAGGCCTATCAGACTATCTCTGACTACCTATCTGCACCTTGTGGAATCAATCTCAAGGTGGGTGCTAGCAATTTGGAGGGATAAAGATGGTCCTACATGTTTTTAGCAGGTTGGTCATAATGTAATGGCTCTTCGGTGTATAAAAATGGACCCCTTTCATAACGTATATTCAATATCGCAAAACGATATTGCTCGATATTGTAAAAAACGTTGGGGAATGTCGATCGATATCTCACAGCATTTACAAAACTTTGTACAATGTTGATCGACATCGTCAACACAAAAAAAAAAAAAAAACGGATGCCGAGGAATGCCGATAATCGCTAAAATTACGTTATTTGTTAAAATAAAAATTAGTTTTTGAAAATATTCATGACTGTTTGAAACTCGGAAAAAGCTGATAACAGAACCGTTGTAGCTTGCATGAAATTAAATTATTTTTTTATTACTAAAACTTATAAAATCTTAAAGTTTACAGCTTAGTTAATTTTGTTCATTGCTTTTATACCATCAATGTTCAACTCCGTAGTCATATAATTTTGAACCCAATCCAGAAGACAAAGGAACTCCTGGATCAAATATTGGAAGAAATTTTTTTGAGCCTTTAAATAAAACGGCAGGCAAAACTTCAAAATTCAAGTTTAAATCACCCATTAAATATGTACTTATTTGCATTTAATGCATTTTATATCGAAGTTTGTCTTCAGATTTTTTATCGTTGGTTTAAAAATTGTTAATTTTCTAGTATAATTAGATTTTTGTTTCACTTAGATGATGTGAGAAAGGAATCTACTGATATCGACAGTATTATTGATGAACTGGACGATTCAAGTGTAGTTTTTAAAGAGTTTTTTCTGAACATTTTCAAGCGAAATTCAACCAAATCTTAATACTNTTCTTCCATTACTTGCTATATCAAGAATCTTTTGCAGTAATTGCTTTGCGGTGCTAATCTATAATATATTATCTATAATCTTCAAAAGCTAAACATAAACAAACAGTCTTATAAGGAAATTCGAATAAAATACTACTAAAGCACCGATTAAATAAAGGCGCAGTTTTTGCAACGTAACGTAGTATAAAAAAAGGAGTAAAAGTAATTACAAATCTCAAAGAAAGTATTTTCTGATAATAGTCCTAAAGGATACAAAGTTTGCTTTAGGTAAAGCTTTAAAAAAAAATTAGACACTTAAAAATACATTAAATTGTGAAAAAAGGCAGATGACGTAACGGCCTTGTCAACGAAATGATCTTGTCGATGAAATTATCCGTAGACGAAGTGATGGCGATGAAGAGGCTTGTCGATGTCGATTGAATGAACCGGACCCTGATTCCACGTGCAATAATACTTTAACAGATCATTTTAAGCTTATGTTAGTTCATATCCCAGATGGTGTAGCTTAGTTTCACCATCTACATAAAACAAAAAAATCTTTAAAATGTTGAGAAATCAGTAAAATAATAAAGCATTTAAGAATACAGTTTGCTGAATCATTTTAAGTTCATAAAATAGTGAACTCTAACACAGAAAGTATGTATCCTTACGGCAACAATGTGTCGGAATTTTCTTTTTATTGTCACATGAATGTTAAACCTTTTTTCAATAAAGCAAAAATATTGCACTTTCAAACCTTTCATCCTTAAAGGAATAAAAAGTATTTTTTAAAGCACTTTTTAAACAGTGTTGTCACTTAAGATTCTTAGTGACGTTTTAAATGACGTCACACTAGCTATAAAATCAAATTGCATTGTCCATTAAAATATCGTGACAAGGTGGATTTTACCTAAGCATGCAAGACTTTGCGAAAAGAAACATTATAATTACCAAGATTTAAGATTATTTTCACCTTGAGACAAGCTTTATTTAAAAAAAATCGCTGTTTAAAACACTAAGTCTATCTCGATTTAAGGTTTTTATGTAAAAGGTTGTTTCCCAAGGTTTTGGATTCGAGTAATGTGCGTGGAATAGAGCAGATTGTCACAGATCTTATTTTAAGATTAAAAGGTTTACACGTAAACCGTATTACAAACCTTCTTAAGTTTACATTAAAAGGTTTTTGTGGAGTGAAAAGAAGCCTTATATAGCTATCTAAGTAGTATAATAAATTTATCTATGTGTGTTTTTTTTCTCCAGCCGAATCAAAATGTGGAGGATTTTATTGCGGCAGCAAAGAATGTGTTCCTCAAGAATCTAGATGTAACGGACGGAAGGATTGCACAAACGGAAATGATGAAGAAAATTGCGAAGCTTCTGAGTGCGACGAGGAAACTCAATTTAGATGCGATGAAAATAAATGCCTTCCGAAAAGATTTCTTTGCAATCGTCAGAGGGACTGTTCAGATGGAAGTGATGAAGATAAGTGTGGTAAATAAAGTATTACATAATTTTAATAAAACCGCGAATCACAAAAATAATCAAGGAAAATGGATGTAAGGGCCTGGTTTCTTAAGACAAAGGCCTTCTCTGGCTGAAAGTTAACCTACCCTGAGCCCAACAAGATACCGTTTTGTAAACTCAGAGAGCGCAGTCGTTTCACCTCAGACATTATCACGCATTGCGCATGCGTGAATTACATAAACAAATATTTATTTTGATCTGTAACTCGTTTTAAACTTTATATGTGTTATTGTAGATCAGTGCTTAAGAGGGAAAAAATGACCTTTTAATCTGTGACCACAGATTGTTTTAAGCACGGAATCTTTGTATGATTTATATCTTACAATATACAAATTAGGTCATTTTTTAAATTTCGGAGATTAATTTCTCCTCGAAATCAAAATGTTGACAGATTTCAATAATCTGTTGGCTGTTGTCCGCCATTGCTTCTGTCGTTAATGTAATCCAACTGCAATTGATTCAGTCGGCAGTTGTCGTTCCAGCTGAGTGTTCGATGACGTATGCTGTCTTACACTCAAATTGAAAAATCAGAGGTTAGCGCTCTCTTCAAGCTAACGTTTTGTATCGCCGATGTGTCCTAAGAAACCAGGCCTTTAGATTTGTTTCATTTCTCTACGGAAAATCGATTTCTTTTTTCCCGCTAATTTTCAAAATAGTTACAATGGTCGTGCAGTCTGTGGTCGAAGATCGCTGCTGACAAAGAAAAGAAAAAAGAAAAAGAATAGAAAAACAGTAAAAATTCTTACAACTGCATGTCAATCCACTCTAATTGAAATACAGTTGTGAGAATGGGGTGGTTATAAAAACCCCTTTGCCCTTTTTATGGACCTCCAGCGACCGTTCAACCTATTGAGATGAGGAAATTTCAGATGTAGCATATTCAGAGGTATAAGCTTGAGATTCTAAAAACGACAACAGTTACGGCTTTATAGGTACATAGACTCGGCATTTTCGAATTTGCGGCACCCATTTTTTTCGTTGCAAAAAATTCAGAGCATGCGAAAACCTTAAACACAGTGTTAATAGGTACGTGTATCACAAAATCTGGTACGCTATGCTCGACTCACAAAAAGCAGCTCTGCCCTCATCCAAAAACACATGAACAAGGAATCACATGGATGATAAAAGCATTGAGCACCCAAAAAACACATGAACATGAAAAAAAATATTGACTCTATGAAGCGCAAAGATAGAGTCAATGTGCATGATAAATAAAGTATATAAAGTCAAATAAATAAGGTAAAATAAAAATAAATAAATTAAAAAAATCATAGAATCACGTTCACTAGAAATTCAACGAAGAAAACCTATGAAAAATGTGTCTCACAATTTCAGGTACAATAGTTGACGTTCTGAAATTTTGCGATTAAGCGCCACCATCGGGGATTGTAGCATGTGCTTTGTAACAGGCTGACGCTATGTAGCCATGCTGTTAATTTACGTCATACCAGAATTGCTGCTACACTATGCGCTGAATGACATCGTTTGGATGGAAGATGACGCGCCTCAACAAATTTTATTTTTAAAAAACGTCCCTGAACAGTAGACCCAATTTTGGGTTTACGATCCAAGTAGCACATATCTCAAAAACAATATCGTACGAACTTATCTTCGAATATTGTACAATATCGCTGCGAACCATTGTGCTATACACTGATGAGCCATTATGTTATGACCACCCTCCATCTATAACAATAGGCTGGTCCAGCTTTTCATGGTTTCTCGCCCAGGAGCAATGTTTTCATGGGGCACATTAGGCCTATCAGACTACCTCAGACTACCTATCAGCACCTAGCCACGGTGGGTGCTAGCAATTTTGAGGGATAAAGATGGTCCTACATGTTTTTAGCAGGTTGGTCATAATGTAATGGCTCTTCGGTGTATAAAAATGGACCCTATTCATAACGTATATTCAATATCGCAAAACGATATTGATTGATATTGTAAAAATCGTTAGGGAATGTCGATTGATATCTCACAGCGTTTACAAACTTTGTACAATGTCAATCGACATCATCAACACAAAAAAACGAATGCTGAGGAATGCCGACAATCGTAAAAATTACGCTATTTGTTAAAATAAAAATCAGTTTTTGAAAATATTCATGCCTGTTTGAAACTCGGAAAAAGCTGATAACAGAACCGTTCTAGGTTGCATAAAATTAAATTATTTTTTTAATACTAAAACTTATAAAATCTTAAAGTTTGCACCTTAGTTAATTTTGTTCATTGTTAACAGATCATTTTAAGCTTATNTTTATATACACTTATAGTTAGTTCATTATTTTCAAAACCAAAATTTATGCTCGATGAAGTCCTTACTAAAATCTCCTGGAATTCAATATGTAGCAATAAAGGAAACGAAATAAAAATTAAAATATGAACACCGAAGTCGACTATTCAGGGGGTACCGGTGAATGAAAAGATACGTAACATATTAATAGAATGCTTAACTGTCAAGTTAAGCATTCTATTAATATATCCCAGTTAAGCATTCTATTAATATGTTATGGATCTTTTCTCTGACTTCTTTTTTTATAATAAAGAGTGTTGTTTCCCTTTTGTTTTAAGTGTTTCCTTTTCATTTGGTTTGCTTATGAAATCGCTGTTTAACCTGGTTAAAAGTGAGTTTTTATTTTTTGATGATATTGTTTGAGTTTCTTTTCTAAATTGCTTCTATGTATTTCATGTTTTTTCCTGGACTTCTATACAAAATCTTCGGAGAACTGAGGGAGGTACTTTAGGCATTTGCCTCTCCCTCAATAGAAAAGGTTTCGTTTTATGGCTACCGGGGCCGGTAGTCATTGAAGACGTCGTCTTCGGTGGTCATATATTTATTTTTACTTCGTTTCCTTTATTGCTTTAAAGAGCGTTTTTTTCAAAGAAGTTTTATCTATTTAGAATTATAAAAATGTTTTGTTTTCTTTTAGTACTGAAATTCAATAAAAATTCATATTCGCATACTAATTGGTTTAGTTTTAAAATTTTAATTCATCAATGTTTCATTAAAAAAAATTTTTTTTTTTTAAATATTGTTATTTGTCCTGTTATTTATTATTATTTTTCTCTATAGACCTTTGAATGTAACGATACATCACAGAGAACAATCTTCTTTATAGGAAACAAAACTCGAGACAGATAAACTTGCTTTTTTATATGATTCTCGAGAACGTATATGTGGCAGCTTTAGTTATGTAGTATTATCAAACCTATTTCTTAAGGACACTTTGGTAAATTAAGTTTTTATAAACATTAAAACAAATTACCAAATAAAATTTAAAGAATAAATTTAATTTAAACATAATTAAAAAATTACAATAGAAATAGCAATTTGAAAAATGCAAATTGAAATTGCAAATTGAAAAATAGCAATGTTTTAATAAAAAAAATATTAATTTTTATCTCTTGACAGATTTTTTTTTTAAAAATGTACATTAATTTTTTTTAAAACTTAATTTGAAAATAAAAAAATGGAAATAAATATTAATTGGAAGAGGGAATTTAGTCCACTGATTTTTTCTCAGGATTGAAGAGTGGCAGCCATGTTGTTTATAGTGTGTCTAAAGTAAGAACATCCTAGCCATTCGTCAAGACCCGAAGCGGGTACCATGGTAACGAGATATAACTGTTTCAATTAGGGGTGTGGGGTCATTGTTTGGTACAGGTTTTAGTTCCGGTCTGCGAAGGTAAGAGATTCTTTTTCTTTGACTACAGTGTTAGGCTTAGAATGAAAAGAAACCACACCCTCCCTGAAATGCACAATTCTTGTTTCCACAGCAGCTGAGGGACTCAGATTTTGGGGCGGGGCCGGGGGTGTTCTGTTGATTTATCGTTCTGTTACTCTTTCAAACTATACTAATACGCTTTTCCTCCCCCCCCCTTTTATTCTGTAGCAATATTTTTTCTTCAGGGTGTACACAAATCTTTCAACAAAAAATAAACACCTTTTAAGTACTTCTTAAGAACTCAAAAATATTTTCAAGCACCATAAATACTAACAAAATGCAAAATAAATTTTCCAACACTTTGCATTATCATGATAAAATAACTAAGTTTCTGACTAGGAACTCTTTTCTTAATTATATTAGCCACTAAAAAATGATCAAGAGATTTTTCAATTCGATATCAGAGGGTGGAAAATGAAATGTGAAACTGAGAACATCTTGAAAAATGCACACGAGAGTGCTAGAATCTCAAAGAACCCAGCTCACATGCGAACTCACACGTATTTCAGCAAATCTGTAAAATGATTGACGCTTTCATATGCTATGCACCGACGGCTCACCAAAATGGATTGTGGTTTAATGAATTGTGAAAGCGTATTACAAAAATTCATGTTTGATGAAGTGATTAACTTTTTTATTTTTAATATATTTAGTAAATTTAATATACATGATATATTAAGTTAAATATATATTTTTTCCTTTTCTGAAGAAGTTTATTTTAAAATATCAAGCAATTTCCAAACATCTATTGAATAGAGATTGGGTTTCCATTACAAGTATCCTTAAAAATAGATGCTTTAATAGACTTTCCAGATAGCAAAATAAGGTTTATTTTCACCCAGAATAAACCTTTTAATATAAACCTAAAAAGGTTTATATATTTTGGTATCGTGGAATAGAAAATATCTGTGGTACCGTATATTTTGCATTACAGAACTATTAGAATATAATGATAGTAGAAAATTGAATACTTTCTCTAAAGCGTTACTTTAAATGACATTTTAAATTTTACAAGGGACAGTTTAAAAATAATTTTAAAAACCTTTCCTAGCTAAATCCACGCAATTGGTTCATGAAAAATTTCTTCCCATTTTATAACTTTCAATAAAACAAATTAGTACAATTTGATATTAATGATAAATTTTTTAAAATATTTATCATGTAATTCAGTCTTTATAAACACTAGAAAGACTGAAACTTAATATATACCCATACTGACCAAAAACAGTAAAAATGTGAAAAAATAACTAAAGTGTAAAGAAATTTGTTTAAAATTAATTTTTAATATTTTTTTCAGTTATATAACAAGTTATTAGTAAATATTACCAATAAAAAAATTACTTCCTTTGAAACAAATAATTAAAAATATAAAAATAAAAATAATGAAGTCTTTTATCCTGACATTTTAATTGATTTCCGGTTGCTGATATACCCTTTTGTAAACTTCCTCATTTATTGCTTGTTAAGGCAAATCATTATTTGCAGTTTTTGAAATATTAACTCAGTGGTTAGTTGAGTATTCTATTGTATACAATGGCTCTACGTATAATAATTGCTTTGTTGATCCTCGTTGTAGTTTCTTCAACGCAAGGTAAGTTGGAAGCATGATAAAGATACTTTCAATTTATATTTAAATATTAAGATATAAATTTTAAAAATATTTTTGGAGTGGACTTGGGCGAAAATAAAATAATTTTTTGCTAGATCGAAAATGAATAGCGTAGGTCCCCATCACTTTTGATAGACATGGAGGAGTTTTCGGTAGTGATAGAGGTTTAACCTACTGAGTTCCAATAAACATTTTTACTGCCATTTTTTTCAGGTTATGTTATTATTAAATATTTTTGGGATTGTGATTGATTTATTAAATACAATATATTTAGTTTGACCCAAAAACTAATTTGATTTAAAAAAAATTTTTTTGATGGAGTTTAAAACTTTAAAGAGTTAGCAGTAAACTAGGACCTTGAAATAACGGCTCATAACGTACGAGAGAATGTAGCTCTCTAGTGTTGACCTCTTGATCTCACTCAAACCTTTATTGTTAAACGCATTTATGTAAAAGAACATCCTTCAATGCTTTTTTCCCTACTTTGTATTCCCTGAATTTATCTGTAGATGATCGAACAAATCACATGGTTTCCCATCTGCTCGCGGTGAGTATACTTACCAAAACCTTACAAAGGGTTAAAAAATAGGAGAAAATGCGATTTTTGCTTAAATACTGTACATCAGGCAAATAAACTCATAAATGCGATAAAAGTTTTTATTTAAATTCAATAAACTAATTTAATTATTTTTTAGTTTAATTTCGTTATGTTTTAGTCATGTAATTTTTTTTTAGTTGTTGCATAAAAATGATTCATTTTAGCTTTTAGAAATTTTTTGCTCTATGTCGGATATTTTTCTTCACATTTTGACCATGAAACTCAACTTAATAATAAGATGTTTGCATGCACGAAAGATTGATTGAATCGAATCTCTTATTTTTCTTATAATTTTTCTTTGTAATTAAAAATTCTGACCAAAGACGGTAAATTGAATTAAATTTTTACACAGTGTAGAAACATTAAAAATTTCTTAATCTATGTTTTTTTTTTTCATTATTTATTTTTCCTTATCTTTTACGTAATCAAATAGCCCAAACTGTTCAAGTTACAATTTATTGGACGCGTTGTCTCACGTGGTTATTATGAAAGCGCGCCCAACTTTTTTCTTTTTTTTTGTATGTTAAAAATAGATTTGTTTACTTTTTTTCTAATTTAGAGTCTGTTTAAGTAGCCGATTGCGACAAAGCAAAAACTGTCAAAATTCTGATTGGCGATAAAAATGGCAATAAAGTTCGCTTGTATTAATTAGAAAACAAATGCAACTAGCATTGGTTTCATGATCAGCTGAAATTTAAGTAATCTCGCTAGAAAGTTTTGTCGAAATTACGATTGACGATAGATTCTATTTGGCGACAAAAATGGCGATATAAATTCTGCTTGTTAGTGAAAGAAAAATTGAAGCAAGCCTATTCATCATGCTCAGAACGCAGTTCAATTTTGAACACTTTTCGACATGAGGTCAAACTAGGTAGTGGTGATAAATTCACGATAAATTCTAATTGTAACGGTCAGAAAATGAATGAAATTCATAGAGAACGCAACCCCAATATATGCTTTAGCAAGTCGGATTTCCACATAGCAAAATAAGATTTATTTTTACTTAGCAAAAACCTTTTCATGTAAACCTAAAAAAGTTTGTAATGCAGTTTACGCGTAAGCCTTCCAGCCTTAAAATGAGATCTGCGACCATCTGCTCTATTCTACTCACGTTATCCTTATCCAGTGTTTCCCAAAGTGTGGTAAGCGTATCCCAGGGGTACGGGAACAGTTTATCGGGGATGTGTATTCTAACGCGAAATATCTTGCAACAAACGAGAATTTCAAGAAATTTCATTTAAAATCAAAGCTAGCCATGGAAATTTACGATTCGCATTTTTTTATTGGCTATTTTTTTGCAGATTTAACATTCAATAATTAATGATGACAACAGCTAGTTGAGATTTTTTATTCTTGTGCAATTTTTTTACTGTAAAAAATACATTCATTTTTTCATTAGTGGTCCACAGTTTCGAAAAATTTAGAAAGGGTATACAAAATTCATAAGTATGGGAAACACTGCTATTCCAAAACCTTAGAAAACAACCTTATATATAAAAACCTTAAATCGAGGTTGTCTCACCGTGATAAAAATACATCAATAAAGCTAGCCTCAAGGTGAAAATAATCTTATATATAGGTAATTATAAGATTTCTTTTCGTAAAGTTTCGCATGCTTAGCTAAAATCCACCTTGTCTTGAATTTTAATGGACAATACAATTTGATCCTATCGCTAGTGTGACGTCACTAAGAATCTTAAGAGACAATACTTTTTAAAGAAGCTTTAAAAAATAATTTTTAATCCTTTTAGGATGAAAGGTTTTGAAATTGCAATATTTTTTCTATATTGAAAAAGGATTTTTAGTACAAACATTTTCGTGAGACAAAAAAGAAAATTCCGACACAAGGTTGATGTAAATTTACATACTTTCTGGGTAGGAAGTGAAAAAAGAAATTGAACTGTAAGGAAAGAGAAGCAAGCAAACTGTTTTACTTCTAACGAAAATAAAAATGTTAAAAATCATAGAATATAAAAAAAAAATCAAAAGTTTTGGCTCTCTTACCAGAGAAACCTATTTGTCTGCTTATGTGCATACTATCACTAGAAATTAGTAGAGCAGAAGATGTTTTCATGTTAAAGAGAACAGCAGCTTTCTCTTTACGGGAATTTTTTCTTTTGCTACCTATACCTTTTCTATGTCACGTGTGTGTCTAAATAAACGATTGAAAAGACACATGGTCCGTCCATTATTCACTTATAATTTAAGAATAACTCAAATCATCTCTATATCTCGAATATCTTAATCACTATTATAAGCCTATCTATTTTGTAACTGATTTCGATATTTATTTTTTTGTTACAGCTTGTCCATTCGGATTTCAGTGCGACGATGGATATTATTGTTTTGATAAAAGGAGGGTTTGCGACGGAGTGAAAGATTGCAAAGATAACAGTGATGAACGTGATTGCCATGCCATAGTATGTGACCCAGAAACCGAATTTCGGTGTCGAAGCGGGCAATGCATCCGGAAATCAGACGTGTGTGATAGCTTTCTTGAATGTAGAGATGGCAGCGACGAATCAAATTGCAGTAAATAAATCTTTATCTATAGTTTAAAATATTTAGAAGCTCCGAATCTGCTCGCTTCACGCCACAACTAGCCAGATCCAGATAGCAAAAAAAGGTTTATTTTAACCCACCAAAACCCTTTTATTGTAAACCTATTAAGAATTGTTATGCGGATTACGTGTAAGCCATCTAGCCTTAAAACGAGATCTGTGACCATCTGCTCTATTCTATGCACATTACCCTAATTCAAAACCTTGGAAAACAATCTTATATATAAAAACCTTAAATCGAGGTTGTCTTAGCGTGAAAAAAATCCTTCAAAAGCTAACCTCAGGGTGAAAATAATCTTGAATCTAGGTAATTATAAGGTTTCTTTTCGCAAAGCTTTATATGCTCAGCTAAAATCCACCTTGTCTTGAAATTTCAATGAACAATGCAATTTGATGCTATCGCAAAGTGTGACGTCAGCTAGGACATCAACTAAGTGACAAAACGTTTTAAAAAAGATTTAAAATAATTTTTAATCCTGTTAGGACGAAGCAGCTATATTTTAGCTTTATTGAAAAAAGTTTTTTAGTACAGATATTTTCGTGTCAAAAAGAAGAAAGACATAAGGTTACACGCTTTCTGGGTTTTTTTTTTACTTGTCCATTTTGTTTTGTAACTTTCGCATTAAATCAAGAACGAGGTAATAAAATAATGATTTCAAGAGCGAGACAAATTTTTTGACGTTGATGAGTAAATAATCATTACTTAAAGCATAAAAACAGTCAAATAATTACGTATTTTTACATAAATTTCTTTTCTGTGTTACGTCAATTTTTTTTTGCTCGTTAAAATCGCAATAATTTTCAAACAAAATACAACTTCCAAAAAACAATACCACGTGTTAAATTTATAATTAAAAACGGCCCAATCAGCATATTAACTTCAACTTTGTCATTTCATTTTAGTCGGAATTATAGAGCATAACTAAAGCAAGAGCGTACGGGGCAGTTGTCACAGGCCCCCACATCAGAGGGGGGCCCTAAATCAAATAGAAGGTTTATTTTAGGTTTTCTTCTGAACTTTTTTTCAACTAATGAATGTTTTTTTAAACATAATACCTGTACAGTGTAAAACCGTCAATTTTATGTTAGCTTCTGCATTAATCTATTGTATGAACACAAAAAATCTTTGTTACGTAAATCCATGGTTTTCTAGCACAGAATTAAGCTAAACTTTCACATTGACAATAAACATATCTGGCCAATCAAAAGCATTTGTTTTCTACATATCACAAATGAATGAAGCAGAGGGGGGCCCCAAAGTTGTTTTAGCCTCTGGACCCAATTTGTGGGTCCCAAAGTTTTTTCCCAATTTGTGGGCTCAAAGTCGGGTCCAGGCGAAGTAGGTCAGTCAACATAGTTTTACTTTTAAACTTCAAGTTTTATCTTCACATAGTTGTTATAGAGTCAAACTAATTGAATATAAATCATATCATTATGTATACCAATTAAATAGAGTGAAATACTTGTATAAATCAAAGTATTGTTAAGTCTAAAATGTGCATTTCGCTAAAAAGATGGATTACCCTGAATAACTTAAGATCTATTGATCGAATCCTTGCGTTCTAGGACTCAATCTTAACGGCTGTAGGGGTGATATTAAATATGCTAATCAATAAATGCAGACGATTTTTAATTTAAAATCAGACACAAAAGCGTATTTTGTCTGTATTAACATACCTTTTTTTCCATGGATTTGGATTTTGGGGTACCTGCAATCTGGGAAATATTGTTCCAATAGTTTGATCAGATTGGACCCCTTTACATTAACTTTACTTTTTTTCGTATTTCGCCATATCACGAGAGCTTTTTGAATGAATTGAAAAAAATTTGCACACAGTTATAAGATTCGTTTTTCTAAAGAAAATTCTATGCAAAATAAGTTGTAGTAAATATTTTTTCTTATTTTTTAAATAAATAGTAGAAAAAATTTTGAATCTTAATTTGTACAATTTCTCACATCATTTTAAAGTATATAATTTTACAAGGCAAATGCAAAATTTGAGCGGTTGCAATGGGTTTAAGTGGTTATCGAGAGCCTCTTTGAACCCTAATCCAATTTTACACCCGTAGTTAATTGTGAAATTTCGAGGGGTGGAAGATTCCTCCCCGGCATCACTGGTATGCGGGCAAAGACTCAGGTTCTTCATTCGCCCTCAATTGTGACAGAGCGTCTAAAACCGCAATTTCCAGATTAGCAAGTGGTGACACAAAAAATCTCTCGTTTTTCGAAGGCAGGAGAATCTTCGCGGTTTTCTCCAAAGAATAAACTGAGCAGACTTCTCCCGAAAACATCCTGGACACTTTGAGACTTTCCAGAGAGGACATATACTTATCTCCCCTTCTGGGCCTCGATTTCTTTAGGTTCAACGGTCTGATGGACCTTGTCAGACTTCGTCATGCATTGGAGGATAAACCACAACAACGGCATCAACAAGAACAACCAATTTTGATAGACATATTGTTGAGCCACATTTCTTAGTGTTTCTACATTTTTTAAGAAAGTGATAATTTGTTTGTTTCATTACATTTAGCTGAATCAGCCTGCCGAGGATTTTTCTGTGGAGATGGAGTATGCTTACGTTCTTCTAAGAGATGTGATAACAAGGAAGATTGCGTTGATGGCTCTGACGAAGAAGGTTGCATTCCTTTTTGCTCTGAAAAATATAAATTTCTGTGTGAGTTTGGATGTATCCATAGGCACCTCCTCTGTGACGGACGTCAACACTGTCGCGATTTTTCCGATGAGAAAGACTGTGGTAAGTGACATTTTTAAAATTTACAAAGTGCAAAATAAAATCATAAAAGCACAAATAAACCGTAACAGATCAATTTATTTGAACTAAAATTTATGAAAGCTGACAACGAAATGAAATAAACTGATTGCTGCTTGCTGACGTCACAAAACCTAAGACGCTGATTGGTTAAGGTAGAAAAAACAAACTTGCATGGAAAGTGGAACATGTTCTATTGCCGTCCAAGGACTTGGACCAAATATTTGGATGATCGTTTACGTGATCCAAGCTCAAAGCAAAACAAGTTTCCATCAATATCAATCAATCTTCGTTCAAGAACTTGGGTCGTTCAAACAGGCCTTAAGGTATGGGCTACACTTAGTTAAAAATATTTGTTCAGATGATATTTTTAAGCAAATGAAATCAGACTAAAAAACGGTATCCTTAACAAATGAGGGTGGTGTAATTATATATATATATAAAAACGATATTATAAACTTATATAAAGCGATGAAGCAATATTATTTATCACATTACTATGGGCCATTGCTGGAGATTAATCTTCGTATCTGAAGCACGCGTGTCAGAACCTAACTCAAATCATTGATGATCTTATAGGGCGCCGGAAGCTCACTATATGGTGGCATCTAAGACATTTCTATCTAAGACATTTATCTGAAATTCTACTTGACAATGCTGAATCACTGTCCTGGATATAAATTTGAGCAAATTTGTGATTTTGATTATGAAGAGGGATCAAGCTTGCTGTCGCAGTAACATTGACATCACCTTTAAAAGTTTGACAACTGATCCCTTTAAAAGAAATTTCATGAGATGGGCAAAAAGCTGCCATCGTAAATGCAGAGTTTTACGATCGAGCATTCTGTTTAAAGTTAATTGCATCAGAATGGCTGCCAAGTAAACGATCTTTTAATACTTCTGGATATTCCAGATTGACGAGCTCAACTTTGCCAAGAGGCCAGCAATTAAATTTCGTTCTGCCATGCTCTGCTGGAAACGAAAGAGCACCACAGTTTACACATTCATCGCTGAATGTACCAACAGAAAAAGGGGGTATAATGTGACTGATAAAGACTCATCAAGGTATTCGTTTTCATTTAAACGTCTTGACTCTTCAACGTTTTTTCGCAGCGCATTCCGCCGTCGCGTATTGATAGCACTAAGATTATTTTCCAGATAGTTCTGTGCTGCTAAATTATGTTCAACTCTATGTCGCTTTTGATATCGCCTAAGATACTCACGGTGATCCATGTTTTATAAAAGATATAAGTTTTTTAAAATAAACTCCGTTCAATATATTTTAATAATTTGGAATGTAAATAGTTTCTTTAGAGAGTGTTGATTCGCACTTCCAATAACTCTACCAGACTTATCAAAGCTATTAAAATATATTGGAATTCTAAAATAAATAACTGATTTCTATCAAAACAAACATTCTATTATAAAACTTTAGAACAACTATCTTTTTACATTGCCACTCAAAATTATTAATAAACATTGGATAATATTGCGTTAATGACACTTTCAGCTAATGACGTCTTAAACAAACGTTTGCATAAAGTTTAGTACACAATAATCAGATATAATTGCCTGCATAAATAATCGTTCGGTATTTATATAGCTTAACGTAACAAGTGTAAGATTTTTTTTTTTTTTTTTGGAATGNTTTTTTTTTTGGAATGGCGATGTTATAATTTTGTTGTTGAGTTAATAAATCTTCCTTTTTATAAATGTAATAGTCGAGTTTTCTTAAATATTTGATTCGAAGTCCTCTGAGTTTTA